GGGGGCCCCCCGCCAGCATGTTCCAGATGAGGTTCTGCGAGTCCGGCACCAGCTCTGCGGACGTGGACTCGGAGGGCTCGAAGAGGAGGTCCCCCACGCTGTTGGGTCTGCTGCCGTTCAGCTCTGCACGGCGGAGAGGGCGAGGAATTGAGCAAGGGTTAGGCCAGAGCCACTCCGGCGTGCTGGCATCTCGAACCCCGCTATGGCAGAAATGTAATACAACCCCATCCCTTCATGCAATATTGATCCCTGAAATTATCAACTGAATAATTAAGGTACTGGGTTGGGTCACCCTGGATGAAGCTTCACATCCTTTCCAGTATTGTCATCTTCCATTCTGTGTCATAGGGTAAAATAAATGCACACAGAGACATGGCATCTTCCTTTGTAGCGGACTGGTGGGCTTGCGAAGAGGAGGCGGCAGAGATCAGGTCAGTGATCTTGATGTGAAATGTTGAAACCCAATTCCACTTGGAACAAGGCTCCCTTGCTCAGAATGGATTATCCGAGTTCTGCTAAAAGGACTTGTAGCAAGGAGGAAATTTGGTGTCCATGCAAAGCCTCTTCTCTGCCTTCTCGCCTGGCCTTATAAAGATGGTAACTACAGAAAGTCTTTGAATTCAGCGGGTGCGTTATTTACATCACTTTTATAAGCAGTCGTTACTTTGCTAAGCTGCTCCTTGTTTCTTAAATGGATATCAATGCGGATCATGCAATAGGGTTTCAAGGATGTGACTTGATTCCTTGTCGATGTGTGAACGGAACAAGTCCGATTTCCCACAATATTGCACCGTGCTGTCTTCTGCAACCAAGCTGTCATAGTCCCGCTGTTGAAAAGCACCTGAGTCACGCAAAAGCCAGTGATGCTTTTTTTTTCCTTAGGCCCAACTGACCGGGTCCACAAAGTTAGCTACTTAAGCGTAGGAGTCTGCGGTGCTTAATTTAGACTTTTAACATAAGTTAGAAACCTTGGTGTTGCTTTGGCAGTGGCGGGGAGTGCGTTGTCTTCTTTTAGACAGGTGCTGATAAGATCGGCACTGAATAATAATAATAATTGCTTACACTTATATAGCGCTTTTCTGGACACTCCACTCAAAGCGCTTTACATGTAATGGGGACTCCCCTCCACCACCACCAATGTGCAGCCCCACCTGGATGATGCGACGGCAGCCATAGTGCGCCAGAACGCTCCCAACACATCAGCCATCAGTGGGGAGGAGAGCAGAGTGATGAAGCCAATGCATAGAGGGGGATTATTTGGAGGCTATGATTGATAAGGGCCAATGGGAAATTTGGCCAGAACACCGGGATTACACCCCTACTCTTTTCGAGAAACGCCCTGGGATTTTTAATGACCACAGAGAGTAAGGACCTCGGTTTTACGTCTCATCCAAGGGACGGCGCCTGTTTACAGTATAGTGTCCCCGTCACTATACTGGGGCTTTAGGACCCACACAGACCTCAGGGTGAGCGCCCCCTGCTGGCCCCACTAACACCTCTTCCAGCAGCAACCTTAGTTTTCCCCAGGAGGTCTCCCATCCAGGTACTGACCAGGCTCACACCCGCTGAGCTTCAGTGGGGCTGCCAGAAGGCCGCCTTCCCGTGTGCGGGGTCTGTGCACAACTGGGGCAGGGCCAGGCTTTCTCCATTACAGGCAGCGCTCTCTCACTTCCATAACCTCCGCTCTGCTAGGCACCAAAACACTCTCTGGGCCCCATTACAGGATGTGTTTGTGATCCATGGATTTACAAACCAGAAAATGTGATTCCCTCTGAATTTTTCATCCGTCGGCTCCTCTTTGTATATGTCCCCATGAATAAAGCATGCCTCCATAGGGGCTGCAAGTGTGCTTTTTAGAAAAACCCACGACTTGGGCTTTTTCTTTTTAACAAAGATTTGTCTAGTGAACCATTCCCAGATCCTTTTCTCCTTTTCCCATGCTTTTTTCCCTCCCCCCCCCTTTATCCGAGCTTTAGGGAAAGACCTTTTGGGGTTGAAGAGAAGAGGCCAGACGAAAGCTACTTGTGACACCCCCTCTGCTTGGTTTTTAAGGGGAGCAGGGAGAGAGCCAGCACGAAACGCTCCAGGCATTTGAGTTTTTTTTTTCCTCAACCATTTCTGTCGGAATTGTCCAGATGGACAACCTTTAAAAAAGTGGAGTCTGAGACAGAGGAGTCGTGCACACAGTTATATTTTTGAGAGCTTGGCAAATTTGGCATTAAAGGTATAGAAGTAAAGAATAATAAGTCAATCATTTGATTGATGTCAGTCACACGTGCTCCCTGACACACACTTATCTGGGTTGCATTTGCCAGTTCTGATTGTGGACTGTTCTTGCGTAACTTCTTCCCTGCCGGGCACCAAAACACTCTCCGGGCCCCATTAGAGGATGTGTTTGTGATCCACGGAGAAAATGTGATTCCCTCTGACTCCCCCACCCCCCTCCATCCATCAGCTCCTCCTTGTTCATGTCCCCGTGAAATAAAGCATGCAGGCTACCTGTGTAGTGCGGCTTGGCCTGTGCTCCCTGCTCACAGTCGATGGCCTCCTCGTACACCTCGTTGGTCTCCTGTCCCTTGCTCTCGGTGGTGGCCCCCAGGCTGGGCCCCTTGTCCAGCACCTGGTTCCCGCTCTCCCCCTGCTCCTTTGTGCCTTTGGCGCTGGCGTTGTGGGGCAGCAGGGCGTCGGCCTCCGCAGAGGGGTAGCCCTTGCTCTTTCCCCCTAGGCCCTGGCCGTCCGCCCCGGGGAAGAAGAGGGACTGGGGGGCGGGGTCGTCGGGGTCCCGAAGCACGGTGTACTCGTAGGTGATGTAAGGGGTCCTGCCGTTCTGATTCCACACCTGCAATGCAGCAAGACCTTGGTGCTTCTGCACACTAATGATACTCATGAATGAGTTGAGCACAGTTTAGAGGGTAGATAAGATCACTGTATGGGCTGTGTACAATTTCTTGTATTAGGAATTTGTCTTTTTGCAGAACCCAGCTTGCTCTCCATGAGACACACAGACAGGGAGAGAAGCTGGGGGTCAGAGCGCAGGGTCAGCCATTTATACGGCATCCCTGGAGCAGCTGGGGTGAAGGGCCTGGCTCAGGGGCCCAACGGAGTAGGATTCCTCTGCCGGCCACAGGATACGAACCGGCAACCTTCCAGCCACAGGCGCAGATCCTGAGCCACAGAGCCACCGCTCCCCTCTGCCATATCTGCTTTCCAATTACTCGTTCCTGCATCAGCCGTTATTACAGGCGTCCCCTGAATTCCGAGTCATAACTTAGAGCAGAACAAAGCTCTTTTGTTTTCCTCCAATCACAGTCAGTGCCCAAATCTACAGTGCGGTTTTTCATTGGTTATGACCTCATTGCTCCTTTTGCTTTGCTTACAAATAACGTCGGCACTGTTGAAACCTTAGAACTGAATATCCACCTGATTATTACATCTGCTGATTTACACCCCCTATGGAAAATAAAGAAGACGAGAAAGACCACCCCCTTGGCGTATCTTTTGAATACTGCATAGCAAAGGGGCCTTGTGAAAAGACCCAGTTTAGTGCACGTGTAATATGCTCTGATATATTTTTACTCAACATGTCCTGCTCGCGATTCGATCTCTACAAATGCCATGGGGGGGGGATGATGGTGGGAGCAGCACAGAACTCTGGTGATGTGGCCCGAAAGCTCAGATACAGTTGCATACAGACCAGCACGTTCACCGCCTGGTCGATGGGGCCCTTCGCCACTATGTACTCGATTCCGGTCTCGTACACGTCCGTGGGCCTCCGGTACTTGAATATGGTCCCGGCGGCGTGGAAGTTCTGCGGGCTGTCCACCTTGTAGGCCCCGTTGAAGAAGAAGTTCCCAGCCTGATCGGTCACCGCTGTGGAGCGAAGAGGGGAGAGGTCACGTTCAACGACCTGAAGTTGCCGCGGGGGGGCCGGGATGTCGCTGGACAGCTGGGACCATGGTGAGTGCTGCCATTGTCGGCCGCGGGCCTTCCCACACAACCGCGACTCCTGCGACTTGCCAGGCCCTTCCCAGCTCACCGGGAGGTCAGCGAGATGCGCCGCTGGCCTAGCCCGTACGGCGCTGCACAGCTTGCAGTCTGAACCGTCCACCATTGGCCACCCACGTGTAATGTAATGTAATGTCATGTTTGTAATGTTTCTTTATTAGCCCTATACAATTTCTTGCTTTAGGAATTCGTCTTTTTGCATACCCCAGCTTTTCTCCCTGGAGACACAGACAGGGAGAGAAGCTGGGGGTCAGAGTGCAGGGTCAGCCATTGTACGGCGCCCCTGGAGCAGTTGGGGTGAAGGGCCTGGCTCAGGGGCCCAACGGAGTAGGATTCCTCTGCCGGCCGTGGGATTTGAACCGGCAACCCTTCAGTCACAGGCGCAGATCCTGAGCCACAGAGCCACCGCTCCGCCCACGTGAGCGGTGAGGTCATTGCAAGCCTTGTTCCGAAACGCAGAGCTGACACCGTCTGCCGTTTTCCCACCCTGTGAACCCCAGCGTGCCCACGGTTGGCGTCCGCTGGACGAGTGGTGTGTCAGGTTCTAACGACACTTGACTCCCGCATCTCGTCAGGATATGGGAGTTACTTTTGCACAGAAAGCCCGGACTCAAAACTCTCTGACGGGGAGACTTTCAAATTTAAAAGCCGGGGAAACTTAAAAAAAAAAAACGTCAATGTTAATTTTTTTTGTTTCGAAAAATGAAACCCAGTCACAGGGATCTTTGTGTACAGTGTAAGTTTCGACGGAAATCGGCCACACTTGTAGCTGCGACTTGTAAAATCGGGAACGTCTCTAAAAATCATTCTTGGGATTTTGATAATAGTCTGTGATTACCAGAGCAGGAGTGTACATTACAAACCTATTTTCAGAGAGGGAATAATGTTCTACCAGAGGGAGCAGTGATATGTGAGAGACATCAGAATAAGGGACCTGGGGAACTAATAAAAGGAGCTAATGTATGCACCAGCCTGGTCAAATTATTAAGATTATTGCAAATAGAACTCTCCACCTCATCACTCCAAACCCATAAAAGAAGAAACTTCTTCTCTTCCCAATCTATTTTTATATATTATGTCTGTGAGTCACATAGTTTAATCCAGCATGATGTGTTACGGGTCCACAGTCTGTCATCATGGCTGGATCTCTGGAATGTACATTAACAGACTCGCTGGAAGTTTACATCTGCTTTCCCTGCTTTGTGCCGTACTGACCTGTCAAAACCTAGCAATGTCGGAAAAGGCCGTGCTTTAGCAACGCGAAATGGAGCTAGTTTTGAAATACCGCTCTGTCTCTTTGCCCTACTGCCCTGTAATTACAATTTATGACTACCTTTAGTCATGTCCTAAAGTGGGTTTGGGTTGTAATTTCATGGCGCTGAACAGAGCACATGTAGACCACAGAAGACCTTCATTTTACTGTCTACTTATTGGTGACAGTGGACTCATTGGGAGTGGCACTAAACTCTGAGCCTAACCATTTCTGCTGCTTTCTGCACAAGCTTGTGTGTGTTGCATGTCTGGGAGGGCTGTTAGTATTGGTCATCCTGTTTACCAGTCCTAGTTTGGAGATCTCACCATGATAAGAAAGAAGCCAGCCTGTGATAACAGCCGAGATGTTTGTGAGGGGAGCAGGGTGTATTCGTGCAGGGGCTGAGGGAGAGGTAGAGGCACGAAAATGAGCCCTGTGTTCTGTTAATGGAGATGGAAGTGTGTTCTTAACGCGGGACGGCCCAGTGCAACAGCAGCTCTGCCGCAGGAATTGGTGCATAAGGCACGGATTCTCCCTCTCGGTAGCACACAGCTGTATCTGTGTGGAGCTGGAGGGGCAGGGGGTGGGGAGGGAGGCGGTTTCGACTGCGAGCAAGCGCCGTCAGGAAGTACCCACCCAAAATATCAGCAGACTTCTTCCTTTCTATGATCTGGATGTCCCATGAGCCCTCGGGGATCTGAGTTATGAAGGAGTAACCTGAGTAGGCAGAAACAAAAGCATGTTTTTTTTTACTTCCCAGAGACGGTATATCCTTTTTTTTTACCCATTTTCTAGAGGCCCCGTGTGCTTAAAGACTTTTCTAGTTGTGAAAACAACCCCGGGACTTCAGGAACATGTTTCCTACAGCACCATCCGTACTACTGCCATTCCAGTGGGTTGGGGAGGAAGTTGATCTGGCTTAAATTTACCTTATAAAAGCTCTATAATTTCAGGTTAGAATATCAGCATAGGTTAGCAACAGAGTAGTGTTTTGCTCAGTGTTTTTTTTTTGTGTTTTAAGGTATTAATTCTTTACCTAAACTTAATGTCATCTACCCGCAGCCTGCTACAACTAATGATGGACTGCATCATGTCTGATGCTAAAAAAATACATAGATTTTGTTTTAATATTTGGCAATAACAGGGAGTATTCTCAGCCTCGCTGTGTGGTTCCACACAAAGGACCGCATTGATATAGTGTTTTTGAGTTCCCACACTTATTTTTGGAAAAGGAAGAACAAACTCTTAATGTGTATTTTTCATTTTGGAACATTTGAACTGTCTGGAGTTGCTCTTAAATTAGCATTGTGAAAGATTTATGTGGCGCATTTCAACTGAGTGTTGATGTTTTAATTCTGGGGGGGAAAAAAAGGTGTACACACCACTGGGTAGGTACCATTTTAGGACTGTGTTCCTAAGTACATGGCAGCAAATGATCAAAGTTACATACTGCTGTGCATCTTCCCAGGAGCAGTGTGTCTGCACCATTTGATAGCCTCGGGCTTTTCTTCATGTCCGCAGGGCGTCGGGAAGTGGAAGTGGGAGATGATCCTTACCCAGATTGGAAGTTCCTCTCCGGAAGTTCCCAGTGACTCGGATGCAGCTGCTCCCATTTCCCCGACACACTCCGCACTTATCCAGAGTGTGTGGAGAGAACAGCACCCCGTCACACCCAATGGGCTGCAACACAGCACAGGAAGGCAGTGGGGTAAACGGCTCTGCGGCGACATGATCGCTCCCAAACTTGCCGGCGTGTACTTGAGGGCTGCTGTTTGCCAGCTTTACGAACTTCTCAGCTCTCATCAACCCCGTTTAACTAATTATTGGCTTAAAACAGTTTTTTCCAGTTTTCAAGGTGATGCTGATTTAATGAGGCTCATAAACATTTGCAGACTTCCCGGTTGGGCATCCCGAACCTGGAGAAATTCTAAGTAGCAGCAGCTGATGAGCCACGTTTACTCCAGTGAAAGTTTGGGGTGCGAAATTTATTGAAGTATTTTCTCCCCTTTACTGTGAGTTCTACTACTGTTTTACTGCGGTTGTGTTGTAGTAATGCACATTTGTAAGTCTATGGTAGAAAATTACAATAAAAAGAAATTAAATTGGAGAAAATTCTGTGACAAATGCTCTGGCTATCCATCACAAGGATGGTAACTAAGAGATTCGGTTCATTATTGGTTACAGTTGCCCCCGAGCCAAGTTTGAGTTATAATTGGTTTCTGAGCAACATGGTTCCTTGAGCCATGTTGGTACAATTGACTGATTTCTGATGCTCCTATAACTGTATTATAGGATTAGAGAGAAGTACCAGAAGCATCTACCTACTTAAGTACTGTTACAAATTCTAGTGCAGTCTACATAAACACAGCTGTGTTGGTTGTTTTTTAACAAGATGAATGCGTCTGTACAGGTGACTTTCAACTGTCTTCTGAGTTTTGCAGAATGCATTATGACACGTGCAGGGCTGTGGTTGAAACTGAGCCCTCCATGACGGTACCAGGTTACATTTCGGGATGTGGGAATGTTTTTCCATCCTGCAGTAAGGTTCAGGCCGAACCTTTCCCACCCTAAATCCCCCCCCGGCGTCATTGAGAAAACCCTTTTGCTATCTCTTCACTCTGGTCCTTGCCACAAACGTCAGTGGGTAATTCGATCCGTCATGACTCCAAATGGGTGACGTGATGTCTCGGCGATGCCTGGGTGCTATGTCAGGGTATGAGGAGTCCGGGGAGGGGGGGGTGGATTCTTCCTGTGTTAAGAACGGAAGGTGATGGAAGAAGTGAAAACCTGGTGACTGTTCACCAACCTCACACCTGCCGTCGACGCAGACCCCCCTGTAGTCGCTGTACTTGCAGGACGTCCCGTCTCGGGCAAGCACCATCAGCTGCCTCTGGCCGTCCGCTGTGGTGCAGTGCAGGTCACAGGGGTTGCTGGAGATGTGCACATAATCATCTGCACAGACAGCAAAACAAGACTCCCATCTAGTGTGTAGCAACGGTGTGGTGAGTCCAGCAGGACCCCAGACTCCCAGGATACCAGTCTGGGCTCGGGATAAACCCACTGTGCCCACGTGCCTGTAGCGGTCCTCATCTTACAATGCCAGTCCTGAAAGCCCCCTGAAGACCGTGATGAATTAGGAGCAGTATCTGTGTACTTGGACGTTTAAACGTCCCTTTGAAGATTGACTACAGTCAATCTGCTCAATGATTTTTGTAGTTTTAGCTTGTTGATAGAGTGTTTAATTTAAAAAAAAAATTGCCAGCAGCCATATCACCTTGCAACTCACAGCTGACAGCCCCACTGGAGCTCAGTACCTGGGTGGGAGACCTCCTGGGAAAAACTAAGGTTGCTGCTGGAAGAGGTGTTAGTGGGGCCAGCAGGGTTCGCTCACCCTGCGGTCTGTGTGGGTCCTGATGCCCCAGTATAATGACGGGGACACTATACTGTAAAAGGCACCGTCCTTCGGATGAGACGTAAAACCGAGGTCCTGACTCTCTGTGGTCATTAAAAATCTCATGGCATATCTCAAAAACAGTAGGGGTATAACCCAGGCATCCTGTCAAAATTTCCCTCTGGTCTTTACCAATCATGGCTTCCTAATAACCCCCATCTCTGAACTGGCTTCATCACTCTGCTCTCCTCCCCACTGAGAGCTGGTGTGTGGGGAGCGTTCTGGCTGCACACTGGTGGTGGTAGTGGGATTCCCCATGACCTGTAAAGCGCTTTGAGTGGAGTGTCCAGAAAAGCGCCATATAAGTGTAAGCTGTTATTATTATTATTATTAAAAGGCATGATCCACCCATGAAAGAGCCTGAATGCAGTGGGAGTTTTATCTCTATCCATGCAGCAGCACTTTCTCACCTGTTTTACAGTCTGTTGGAGGAATGTAATGGAACTTGGCAGGTCAGTGATGGCTGCAGTGCATTTTCCTCTCAGGCTTCTACTTTAATGTGAAGAGGTCAGCACAGCTCAATGTGCTCAAGTTCTGTCTAGAATGTTTTAATATACTGTATGATAAAGGTCTTCAACACAAGTCCAGGAGAGCTCTCTTCAATTAATCGCCCTAAATGCATTCCTTTTTTAAATTGGCTACACCTGTAGATTATTGGTCAATTAAATATTTCGGTTAAGGGAACGTTGGTCCTAAAGAATTGAAGGGTATTGAGATTGATTACATTGAGTAATAAGTTCAAGTTATGAAAGTTACAAACCACCTGCTTAATTGATTGCGATATACAGTCACTGCTCCGTGTCTTTAGACACGGGTGATATACTGGTGACTTTTGAAACCTGTTGGATCGGAGATCTTCAGAACAAGGGTTGTAGATTCTGCTACAAAGCACTCACCCGTTTGATTTGGTGGCGTTTTGATAAAGCAATGAGAGATGTGTTCTGTCCGTTTCTTCAAAATAAAATGGTTAAAAAGTTCTTCTGTTATTGTTTTAAGGTGCAATATGGTTGTAAATATGTGAACTAGTGAAATTTGTTTTCTTTCATGTAAGGAAAAAACCTTCTAGAATGCAAGTTTTCTTTTTAGAGCTCAGAGGAGAGATCTGCTCAATAATTAGCAACAGTTAGAAAATAGCAGTAAATGTAGGCAGTAGCGGGGAAAATGGGAGATTACCAGGGTACAGAGGTTTCCATTGGTAGCTCCGGCCGTTGTAAACCTGCGAGTTGAAAGATGAGCACTGTTCTTCTCTGAAACTGCGGGCGGATGGAGGGCAGTCCTGGAACAAACAGACCAGACATCTATCTTTTCCCCCCAGAAGACCACATCACGTTCTGCGTTTCGACAGAGTAGATTCACACAAATAAGACACTCTTGATACCTTCCCGATGGCGGCATAAGGGTTAACGTGACCTTCTGTATCTTACAGGGTGTTTGGCAAGATACTCGTAGGATTTATTTCTCCTGCATTAAGGCAAATTTAAGTTCCATAACAACTACGTATAGTAGTATTCCAGCACTGGTGACTAAACGTCTCATATCAGTCTGGACTTCATTATCTCAGAACATAAGAATGTTTGTAAACAACGGCAGGCCGTGCAGCTCATCAGGTTTTTAGGAGCCCGTTGATCCAAGCTTTTCATCCCATCATTTGCTCTTTTTTTACTTTCTGTGCATTGATGTACAGTAATTGCATGGTGTAGTTGCACGCTGTCATTTTACAATTTACTTATATTGCAGAGGTGTTCGGCATACTATAAAGTATCCTAATCAGCAAACTGTAAGTGTCTGTTATCTTTAAAGTAAGAAGTTTCCCTTCGTAGTATAATGACCGTTGAGGCAAAGAAAGATTTACTAAAAAACTGATTTGATTATTTTCCGTCTACGATCTGGTACGACTTGCCCATTCTATTTTGCTGTAAGTCCCCTCCTGTGATTCATTTGATGTTTAGAATTGAGAGAAACATTTCTTCAGACATACCGATACTACGTTTGTACATTTCAACCCCGCTAGTCTAGTCTGCCACAGATTGGACGAAATGCTCTGAGGAGCGCTCTGATTGTGGTGAAATGTTTAGATAAAGGAGGGGGAAAAAAAGGACCTGTGCTCTAAGGTCTGCAGGCTTCCTCATGCGTAAATTGCAGACTGTTGGAATTTTGTGGGATGCAGTTTTCAGTCATTTCGTGTACCGTGGGAGACTCTGCAGAGCCCCTCTGCTGCTGCTCTTTGATGCCCAGAGTCCGCCGTCGGTGTGCGTGGCTGAGTGCCGTAAGGTGATTACACACCAGTGCATTCAACTTGGTCTCTGGCTGCCCAGAGGCTTAGGGAGCGTAAGCAAAGACATTGAAAGTCTGCCACAAGACACTAAAGGAATAAGATATTGCTTATTATTACTAGTTATTGCTGTTTTGGAAATGCATAACGAGGTGGGGGGTGGGGGTGGTCAGCCTTCCCGGAAGCACAGCTTCGGCTCGGCTCCACACTAAGTGAGGCTCTCGTCTCTCGAGAGTTAAAAAGAGGTAACGGCAGGGGGTTTATGTAACATTTGGCTGCAGGTGCGCGCTCAGTCTCGCACCTGCTGACTCGTTTTCTCTGCAGAGCCCAGCTTAACAAGTACTCCCCCCCCCCCCCACACACACACACACACATCCTTCCCCCAGCCGCCTGCCCCCTGTCTCAGGCCTTATACGCATGCTGCAGCTGCAGGAGGTGCATTCCTCTCCTGCCCCCTCCCTGGCCGAGAGGGAGAGGGGCCCTGTCTGTGCAAGTGCCCTGGCCGCCAGCCACAGCTGGGACTGGGCAGCAGAGAGCCCGGGGCCTGTTCGGTGAGGGGAGGTGAACCAAACACAACCTTGGAAGGTAACCAACATTTTTCCTTAACCTTCCGATTTTTGTTCTGCGCTTCGGGCTTCACCTTGTCAGACTCACGCGGCTCTGCCCGAGACGACGGGGCCGCTTTGAAGACCGACCAGGCTTGTGGCACAGCTTTGGAGTTCACAATCAGAATGTTTAAGCCGTCGTTTCAATCTCCCTTCAAAGAACAAGTTGAACCTTTGCAGGTAGCATGAACATAAGGGTAGCCAGGCCGCTAGACAGCATAGTACTACAGCCTGGTTTCCCAGAAGAAGAAAAATAATTTAAGCTCACCACTCAGGAAGATGCACATACACTAAAGTGAAATGCACCCAATTTTTTGTTTCCTGTTAGGTAGTAAAGATTCAACGATTTGTTTGGACAAAGTTGAGAACCAGGAGGCTGGTTGTTGGCAGTTGACAGTCGAAAGGTGCATGAAAGGTATTTTGCCCTTATAGTGTCAAGCCATCAATTCGGGAACCACAGTTCACTCATAAATGCTGGATCAACCTCTTGAGGCCCAGGCGTTACCAGTATCAACCGGAGGTTATCCAAAAACATACTGGGTGAGTTAATTGACGTCTGGGGAAACCTGACCCAGCTGCGTGTGTTTATGTGTGCCCTGCGACAGACTGGTGTCCCGCCCAGGGTGTACCCTGCCTTGCGCCTGTTTGTTGTGGGGCAAGATTCTCCCAGCACCCTAAATGGATGAAGTGGTTAGAAAAGGGATACATGAATGGCTGAGTTATGGCCCCTTGTTTGATAGGGGGCGTCATGTGTTCACAGGTCTTTTTCCCCTACGGGATTAATAAAGTATTATCTATCTTGCTGGTTTTCGTGAACCATGCGTTTGCCAGAAAAGACAACCCACCACTGGCAGGTTCAGCAGCGTGCTGGGGGTCAAGGGGGGGGCGATTTGTGGTGCCTGACGGCCCTCACCTTGATGTTGCAGAGGTGGTATCTCTTTGAGGTGCCAGTGCAGGTCATGTTCTCCTTTCCGACAGCGGTTTTCTTCCTTTGGATACAATTAAAAGGGAAGAGATGGCTAAATGCCTCATTGATTTTTAGACGTCTCTCATTTTTCATTATAACTGAAACCGGGGAAAGGGGGGGGCGTGGGGTACACTTCCATCACCGCACCACTAAACGGCATCCGTCAGTATTTCTGGAAGGAAAACATCGCAGAAGCACTGAGAGATGAGATGAAATAAGCAATGTCATTGTGTTTGTGAAATGTGTCTAAACTTCATTGAAATGTGCATATTTTTATTCATTTCGATTTGGTTTTAAGGTTGCAGCAGTTACTCAGCAGTTTTTTATTCGTATTATTGTTGTTGGTTAACTCACTGCTCTGTTTCTTGGGCAGTACATTACAGTGGATCAAAGGTCTTGTGCATCACGACTGTATGATGACTGCTATACCTGGGTTCCTATGAGCCTGGCTCTGGGGGGGAAACCGGTCAACAGATTTTGTAGATCTTCTTAAATCACCAGTAGCCCAAAAGCTCAGGAAGAGGTCCAATTAAGAAAGTTACTTTTAATTGGCTGAATGTGAACCTGGTGGGGATTGGTGAGTTAAGGGGACCTGGACCGGGCCAGCGGGAGTCCCAAGAATCATGGCGGCCCGTGTGGAGGCCTGTACCTCTGCTTGAGACAGTGTCTCTCCTGGGACTTGACCCCTCCGCCGCAGGTGCGCGTGCAGGCCGTCCACTTCGCCCACTCCCCCCACCAGTAGGCCGTCACCTCCGAGTCGTCCTCCAGGCTGTTTGAGGCCGGGGCGTCCTCCTGCAACACGGGCACCCCGGGGCGTCAGTGCTGCCCCGCTGGGCTCGGCTCCCCCTGCCGGGCCTAGCGAGGCCTTCCCCCCCCGCCTTCACCTCTCGAGAAGAGCCAAGCCAGTGTGGGGGTGGGGAGCAGGGGTGGGGGGCAGAGTAGTTTATTGCCATACGTACGCGTACATTGGAATTCTTAACCGTGGTAATCTCTCGGATGCACCAGTACAACAGACAGCACCACACAATGTAGAAAACAGGAACAATAAATATGTTGTGGAAAAATAATTAAATATGTAGTACTGAGACCAGAAGAAAACAAAATGCTAGATGGTGTAAAACGGGCATAGTGCAGATGTGTATGAAGGCCCTGCAGCTAGCTGTTCTTGAGTCTAGTGGTCCTTGCCTTAACAGGGCGGTACCGCTTGCCCGAGGATCAGGGGCAGAACGGTTTGTTGTGTTCGCTGTTTGTGAACCGCGCCGGCGATCTCGGCGGGCGAGGCCAGTGTTCGTTTCGCTCGGTCGGAAACACCGGCATCGCGGGGCTGTTCCGAGGGTGTTACTGCACCGCCAGCAGTCGCGGATGATTCCAAATGTCACTTATTTCGCACCTATGCAAAGAGCTGCAAACGGGAAGAGCTGTGGCCCCCTGCAAATGGCTCAGTGCTGTTCATCAACTCTGCGCCTGTGGCTGGGAGGTTGCCAGTTCAAATCCCGCAGCCGGCAGAGGAATCCTACTCCGTTGGGCCCCTGAGCCAAGACCCTTCACCCCAGCTGTTCCAGTGGCGCCGTATAAATGGCTGACCCTGCGCTCTGACCCCCAGCTTCTCTCCCTGTTTGGGGTATGTGAAAAAGACAAAGTCCTAATACAAGAAATTGTATATGGCCAGTAAAGTGATCTAAATCTAAATATGTGCCTTGCAATGAGCCGGTGTCCCCAGTGGTATACTGGTGTGGTATCTCTTTGTACCCCGTGCCTATTGGGTCAAGGCCCTGTCCTCCCTGTGGCCCTTTTTGAGTAATGCTTTAATCATGGATGGCTAGAATGTTTGGCCAATGCAAAAGACTGTATTTTAGCAGTATTGTGCTCCGGAAATGGCAGAATAATCTTATTTCACATACACAGCGAGTCTGCAGTGGTCGGCTGTGAAGGGTTTAGGGTCGATGGCCACAGACGAGGTGACCTGTCTGATAAATGTCAGATGAAACCGTGGCTCCGTACCTGTCCTCCAGTGGCCGAGAGGTTTCCCAGGGAGAGAGCGAGAGTCAGCACTCCCAGCAGGACCAGGCAGGTCTCTGGAAAACGGGCCCATTGACAGACGCACATCCTGAAGAAAGAGGGGAGTAATTGCCAAGGGTGCCGAGTCAGAGAGGGAGGTTCTTTTAAAGAGATTCTGGGTACCCTCCAGCCCAATCCCTTTCTGCTCCCATCGTGATTTCATCATTTCTTTATTCCTTTTTTTTTATGTACGATCAACGTCCCTGCGGCTAGCTTGCGTGTCTCTCATTCGGTCGTGAGCAAGCCAGATGCCAGCTGAGCCTTAAAAGAAGGATTTTTTTAAGGATAAGGCCCTTCCAATCTGGTTGCGTGTATAATAAAGAACCCTCAAAGATGGTTTGTTCTCAAAGACGGTTTTCCGAACTCATACATCAGAAAGACCACCGAAACTAAAATTATTCTGCAGCTAGGATCACACATTCTCCCTTCCCTTAACGACAGACTACTGTTCTTTTAAATTTTCTCCATTCATTGGAAGTTTCATTTCACACCTCTCTGCACCCATTCTGACTTCACACCTCTTGATTGGCCTCTCTTTCTGTCCCCTGCTCCCGCCTCTCACTCCTCCTCCCTCTCAACCTTTGTTCTCCCGCTACTTTACCTTTGCCTACTGCCCTGTCTCTCTCACACCTGAAGAAGGCTCCACGGCCGAAACGTTGTGTTCTCTTTCTTCTTTTTTTCAGCATGGAATAAACCTATTACTTGTTCCTTTGCAGCCTACGCATGCTGACCCAGCTACCCACCTGAACTAATAAAGAACCCTAATACTTGTAAGTTGAAACACAGATCTCTATGTGTTCATCGTCTTGGCTCACTGATAACGACTCCTCTGTGCACGCGCATGTATGTGAAGGTGGCGCGAGCTGGCGTTGGTAAAATGAGTGCGTTCCCCCGGGTCTCTCGGGCGAGGGCAACGTCCCTGAAGCAAGGGGGAGAGGCTTGTGACAGGCTTGACTCTCATTTGTGGAGATCAGACACACGTGATGTGCGTGGCACAGCTGTTAAAATCCCGAGTCGAGTTGGCTAGCATCATCAGTGATTTGACTTATCAGTGGTTGACTTAGCAGCAGGAAGTTAATGGTCCCATAGTAAAACTAGTACAATATTATGGCTCTGAGGGTCTTAACAGAATGATCAAGCTTCAGTTTCCACATGGCAAGTTTCCACAGGTCTTCCACATATTGTGTCTGACGACAATAAGGGCTGTGCAGATTCTAAATTTGGCACTAGGAGGTTTGTCAGTAGTATCCAGTCTGGGGTCTTCCAAAGAGTAAGGCTGTTATGTTTGATCTTTTTGCTTTGGAACCTCAGTAAGAAAAAAAATCCTATTTTTCTAAAACAAACCAAAAAATCTTTACTTCAGAGGTTCCCACCTCAGACTCCCCTAAAGCAAAACCGCTCACCCCTAAGTCGCTCCGAGTTGCAGTGTGGAAATTCAGTGCTCCGGCACAGGAGAGAGCAGTCAATGTGTGTTTGCTGTTGCCATCTTATTTCAAGTAGCTATTATCTAGAATGATTGTGTTTTTATATCGGGTGTCCTTACAGAGAGAGTCGACCTGGGAAGAAAGAAAAGGCTGGGAGCTCCTGTATCAGATCAGGCAGGTTGGAAAACTTCTCCACAAACCGAGTGCTAAAAAAAATAATAATAATAATTCCTTTTCAAATCCAAGACCTGGACAAATAATTTGATTACTGTGTTGCGCTTATAGTCTTAAAAGTAAAAAAAGAAGTGCAGCAAATAAACTCCTTTAGTGGTAAAAATTTGAAGCATGTGTGGTGTCAGTCCCCTTTAAATTTCTACAATATCTAGGCAGTCAAGGGAACTTTTTACTGGGAGGTTCAAATCTGAGAGAGCCTCCCAGACCACTCCATTAATTTCCTTGTCAGCTTCAATTGTGTTTGATCCTTCACAGTAGCAGAAGAGGCACACATACTGAAGTTTCACTCCGTCTGATTGCTGTAGGCTTCCCGACTGTTTGTATAGACTGTGACATCACTGTCTCTCTGGTTTTAATCTTAAATCCGCAGATACAAGAAGATAGTTATAAGGGTTTGGTCCAGGCTCCTTAGCTACAAATCTTTGTGTGTCATTTTCTGGAGCAGGTTATGCGAAAGAGTAAAGACCTTGATTGTACAGAATCCCAAGCACTTAGCACCCAGTTTAATTCTAAACCTGAGCTGTGAGCCCCATGCAATTTCGAGACTTAAGACTTCTTGGCTCATTGAGAGTGTGACTGCAAACGCTGGGGAGTAGGTCTCCAGATAATCAAGTTCCCTGCGTGGGGATGTCCTCTCAAATTGCTTCAGAATCTGCGTCGGTAATGCAGGTCTTTGAGTGTCATTTTCCCTGGTGTTAAGTACCTCAGGGGTCATTTTCTGTCCAAAGGTGCTATTCAGTCCCTTGGCCAAAGTATTAGTAATGTTAGGAACTCCTGATCGGGAGTCCTCTGTGGTAGGAACTGTGTGGTTTGAAGCATTCCATCATCTTCCCTGGCCTAAAGCAAACCCCACATCTCCATCCCCTAGTAGACCTGGAAAGGTGCGACCTGTACGTGCAACACAAAACCTCCGCAGAAGGCCATTCTGCTGGCAGAACGAAATAGGTTTTAGCCCCCAATATTTCAGAACCTTTTAAGATACACGGGCGTCCTCGTCCTCAAGCTGTCTCTACTGCTCGTAGGGGCCAGAGTGTCTTATTTGATGGCGGCTGGTCCTGATATTTTAAAGACCGAGAACAAGCAATGTCAGACATCACAGAAAAATTAAGAGGGGCTGCTGTAGTTCGTTGTGAAGAAACACGGAGCCGGAGTTCTGTAGGGTTGTTATTTCCTGCGGAAAACTTGGACGCAGGTACACAATAGGCCCTTAGCTGATCCATTATCTGACCTGGGCTGTGGCACTGTGGATAAGTGCCACATACTTCTAAATGCCTGCTGTTTCAAATTCTTAAAAATACACTTCAAATGAGAAAAGAAACATACTTCTCTCTAGATGCAGAATGGCTTGTATAACAAAAATTGTGCTAAAGTTGCTGCCTGAGGTATTACTGACTTATTATGAGCAAATATTAGCATGCATAGACAATTCTGCAAGGCTTTCTGAGATGTCTTGAATGACTCGCTTATTTTTCTCGTCTTGTAACAAATGAGTTTTTTTCAACCAGATATCACATATGGATTCTCTTTTGCTCTTTAGGAACAACTTGAGATGTCTCGGTCTGTGGTGTAAATTAAAACAAAAGGATCCTTTTGCGCACGGTCCTGGCGGCAGAACGCGATACGTAATTCTACAACAAATTAGCTACCTTTGCATTTCATCTATCAACTTAGATTTGGCTTTGAAAGCTGGTCAGCGCTGGCGGTTTTGGGGGCTTAGCTTAAAAAGTTCCAGGAGGGGGAGGGGTTAAGGTTTTCTTGAAATATTAAGGCCCTGTGACCATTTTTGCAGATGGGGCTTTATTTGTTCAGGAAGGTAAGAATGGGTCCATAGACTGTTGAAGATCTTGTGTCTGCTTCTGAAGACACAATGGTTTATTGCAAGAGATATATAAGCATACAGATGGTTCATCACCCTCTTCCCTCTCACAAACTCCCACCACCTCCTCCTCCTCCCCAGACACACATTTTTCGTTAGGTAGGCTTCTTAAAATAAGCAAACAGATCGTCTAGCTCTATTTGCAGTCTGGGTTTTCCGGGCATTAAATATTGGTGACAGGTGTCTTAAACTTCCCCGAGGAACACCTGGAGTTCATTAAACTCCCAGACACAGCTGGAGGATCGCCAGCTGCAAAACACAGGCTTTTACAGACAGTTCAGACTGTCCTGGGCCCTGGCTGCCTCTCGCAACAGAGACACTAGTTTTTCTCTCAGGATTCTCGGGCCGCGGCCCCAGCATCACCCCACCCCCCTGCACCCCTTGGTCAGACGCAGCAGGAATTTATAATAAACAGAGCCCTCTTTAATCTGCCCCCCCACCTCAGGCCTTGAGGGATTCAGCTTGGATCCCCCCAGTGTTTCTCTCGGAGGGACTTCATTTTCAGAAACGGAGAGCACAGTCTCCTGCGAAGCTGCAGAAAGCACCCAAGAGCTTTTCAGTTTTTTAACCCCTTTCCTTTCCCAGGTTTCACAGTTTTACGGGATCGTGCTTCCTTCTTGCCTGCATACCTGTGCCCTCCTCGGTTTTGAGCAAATCCAGGTGATCAGAAAGACTCAGTTTTGGTATGTCTTTGAATGCAGCAGAAGGTTGGGTGCTAACCGTTTTTTCTACCCTCACAAACCCCTGATATCTGTTAAAGTGGTTTGATTTGCAAATCAAGAGATGGAGCATTAGAAATATGATGGTGGCTTTATACCCTTGGATGGTCTATTGCAGTTCAGACAATTTTGTGGAACAAAGGGAATCTCTTGAAAACGTGATCCCCAACTAAGAAAGAAGAAATGCCAAAAGCACTAAAACTGATACTGCCAAACATCTGAGGAGTTATCCTAGAGTTTAACAGGGCTTGTAGAGTATAATGAGCCGATCACACTGGGGACCAGGGTGAGTGATGTCAAAGAAATTTCAGATCCCCTGGATCATGGGACCAGTTCTTGAATTGGAACGGGTTCGATTCTGTGGTTGAAAATGAAAGAAGACGCATTTGGAGAGGGTCTTAATGTCTGGCGCAACAGTGGAAGGCAAGCTTTTCCTCCCCTTAATAGATCAGGCAAGGAGTATGGTTTCAGGCATCTGTTTAGCTGATTAAATTCTGCTTTTGGCAAAACTAGCGGCACCCCCTGGTTGGCAGTTTCCAGGAGAGGATACGGAGTAAATTTGCCTCATTCCTGAAGCCTCACTGTACTGCCCTCCCCAAGATCTGGGCAGAGCTTCTTGAATCAATGGAGGTATCCCGTTTGCTACAGCGGTTTTTATCCTAAAGACCTGCATGCTATCCTGTGTCTCTGCTGTACTACAACTGTACAAGCTTGATCGCTAACTCCCCTTCTTTCAGGTAATGGACTTATATGATGGCACAAGAATGCTAGATTTCTATGTCCCAGTATCTGCTCTTGAAAGGCTAATGCTTCACTATGCAAAAGGTCCATTGATGTCCTTCAGTTTTTGCAGGAATTAATGCTTGGGCCCCAGGGTTCAATTCCTGACCAGGGATGCTGTCTGTGTGGAGTTTGCATGTTCTCCTGGTGTTCGTATGGGTTTCCTCTGGGTGCCCTGGTTTCCTCCCACAGTCCAAAGACATGCTGGCAGGTTAATTGGCTTCTGAGAAACCTGCCCCTGGCGCGAGGTATGTGCGTCTTTGTGTTTGTGTGTCTCTGTGCCCTGTATTGGGCTAGTGTCCTGTCCAGATCGTACCCTGACTTGTGCCTGTTGTTTGCTGGGATAGGCTGCACCTCCCCTGTAACCCGGAACTGAAAGACGCAGTTATAAAATGGAGGATAATTGCTTGCACACTTGTAGAACGCTTTTCTGGCCACTCCACTCCACAAGCGCTGAGGATGATGGACTGTCATGCTTGTGACATCTTACCGTTATCCAAGCTGTGTAAGTGACCTTCTATTTCTGTTGCGATAGACCTGTTTTCCTTTTGAAAACTGGAAAAACTCCTTCCTCCTCTTTACCTGAAGGTTACCACAGCACAGAGCTGACCTCCTCATTGAAAGTAACGACAGCGGGCATTTGACTAGTCGGTAGTAGACAACTGACAAAGTTCTCCCTGGGGGTTAATGGAGGAGTAGATGTACTGTATCAGCTGAAGCCTCCATTACCTTTACTGTAGAACCGTGCTTCTGACACTGATCAAGTATTCCCTATGCGCCTACAGATTTCTTTCATTAACTCATACTGCAAAGATCCCCACACTTTGAATTTCCTAGTGTGCTGTTCATGTACCTTTATGTTTGAAGAAAACTAGATGGTATTCTGTTCTTAATGTGGGGAGCTGGTTGAATTGAAGAGATTGATCGTAGTCCGATCTGGAGTTCCCCGGGGACCATGTGCCATAGCCATCCTGTGTTTTATGGATCTGCATTTCCTTGCATTGATTTCTCCCCTTTTCCTCCTGTTTTGTTCTGAACTGGAAGTCTCGGGGCACATTCCTTCATCGCTGTCTGCCCAGCAAACCGGGGTTCTTGTTTTTGCTTGTGATGCCCCATTTGTTTTAAGTTTACAGTGGTTTGTGAGCCCAGCATCCTCGTTAAGCGAACTGTTCACCGAAGCGTTCATCATGAGCAGCCCCGATGCTGACTCAATAGCCCAGCCCTCTTAAAGGCGTAGAAAGTATAATCATTTTATTTCATATGCTTCCTTCATTCCACGACTTGTCAAAGAGGTGTACAATTAAACAATGTGAGTTATTACATTATTTTATTACATCCTTTTACTATATCATTATTTTATTGTTATATTATATCATTTTATATTATTGGCTGCGCAAACCATATAAACTATAAAACAATGTCTTAGTGGCGGTTTGTTGGGTGAAAACTGGTTGGATGGTGCTCTGAGTCTCGAAATTTCAACTATTATCAACCCATTTCCAGGCAGTGGAGCTCAGCAAACATTTTTCAAGTCCTCAGTGCAATCGGGTTGCTTTGCTCTCTGGAGGAAATGGTCCGCTGTCCCATTCCTACCGTTCGATATACAGATCTCTTTGTGACCAAAGCCCAAGTGTTTCCTGTTTATCTCAACGTTGTGTTGGGATACTCGTCTGGAAAGTCGGGGATATTTTGCAATTTCTGTTTGATTAGCCCTTGCATTCTTGGTCTCTTTGTTTCAGAAGACACGTTCGAAATGGTAAAACATTGTACATCTGAGTTTAATTCATAATATCTGAAGCTGCGTTTCTTCAGTCACCTTCAGTAAAAGCTCAAGCAGTGTTAAAGGCTGGTGAAATCACGTTAGAGGGATCTTGTGTATGTTCTTAGGCCACGTGATTTATCATTGTATCAGTGGCATACCATTGCAGCAAACAATGCTGACTGGATTATTTCATTTTATATATGAATTCTTTGTGTCCATGTTTTTCCACTTGTACAGAATATTCCAGTTCTGTAATTTTCCTATTAGTATAGTAGGATGTACTAATAGGAAACTATACTACTATATTAGTATAGTAGTAATAAAAAACTTTATTCCTAGTAGAATAAAGTATTTGGTATCTCCCTAAATACCTTGAGACTGTATCGCAAGTGCTTTTATCCCCTCAGTCAGTGCTCTGAAATGTGACCATCTGCAGTAGGAAAGATCTGCCACTTACCAAAGAAACTGGAAACATTCAAATTTGACATTTCAAATCATTTCATGTGATTCTTTTTTTCATGAAATAAGAAAAATATGTGTAATCCCACTAAGTATATAAATACAAAAGATTTGTTTCTGTAAGAGAAAAGACTATCACTACACAGTGTTGGCACTTTTTTGACCTGTTGCTCAACACAAGATATTTTCAAAGTCCGATTCGGTTGCAGAGCAAGTGCACAGTCTGCATCTGCTCTTTAGTGCACTCGCAGATGGCATTTTCATTTTAGTCCAGCTTTTCCCTTCTCCTCATCTTCACCCACTTCATTGCAATCATTCACTTGCTGTGTCTAAATGGTCCTGCTGTATCCTGCGTTTTCCCAGCATGCACCACTGGCAAAAGGATATTAAAGCCGCATTTAGCTGGAGATTCTAGCATACTTTTAAGAGCTGCATAAAAGGAGTCAATTAAATGCCTGCTTTTGTTCAACACTTACAATGCATGCACATATAACATTTCTGCAATCCATTTATTTTGCAAGCTGGGAAATTAGCGTACGTAAACATGGATCAAAACACAGCTCTTGTTCCCATCCAGTTCACAAAATGCCCATTTTTTTCAAACAGAGTAGCAGACACTTTTATTGAGCTCTGCTCACTATTTCACAGTTGAAGTTTGTGAGCCACCCAGAGGTGATCTCTGTTAGCCCCATGGGTGCTGTCTGTTCAGAAAGATACACAAGGAAGCATGAGGCTGTGAAAAAGCCAGCCAGAGATCAGTTTTGCCCCAGTTTGAAGCCTTCATTTCTTGTATGCTAATATTTCATCCCTGGGTTTAAAAATCTGATCTCAGTGCAACCTCAAACATTTTTCCCCCCCCTGTGCTTTATGAAATCACAGATCATTGATTGATTGGTGAAGTCCTGTTCCTGGTGAGCAAGAGCTCCAGAAAAGACACAGGCTGTAGAATCTAAATATTTACTCACCTATGCTGCAGGCTGTAGGTTGTCTGAGAAAATCAGTGCTTGGTTGAGCCGCAGGGTTGTTTTTGTTTGTTAGCTCAGAAGGGGTCTTCTCTGTGTCTGTGCCCAGCAAGCTATTGAAGTGCAAGGTGCAGCCCTGCATCCCTCTCTCCCCTCCCAGGAATAGCAGGAAAGAAAGTGGCAGCATGCACAAGCAACGCCTATAAAAAACATAAACTCCCCGTGCCAAAACAAAGGAGTTGCTGATTTCTTGGAGTGGAGCAGAGCCCCAGTGACTTTCCCAGCCAAGCCCTCTCCAGCTTCGAGAGCAGCTCACAGACAGACAGGGAGGAAGTCGCCGTTTCCCAATGAAAACCCAGTCAGGCAGCCACTTGACTCCCCCCCTCTGCCTGTTGCTCTGAGACCCGCAGCCTGCAGCCTCCTGGTCCCTAATCTTCCCCCTGTCAAATCTCCTCCTAAATCTCAAGTACCAGCGCAAGCCCACACCCTCCCTTCCATCCCTTCCCCTGCTGTTTTAATACCACAGCCTCCTCTGGCCAAGAGCTGCGTTTATTGCTGTTTATTCACCACGCTTGGCTCTTTCTCAAGCGCTTTGAGCTGCACAGACAGGTTGATGTTGATAGCAGTTTTTTTTTTTTTGTTTCATTTCAGCTGTTATTCCAAAGGCCGAACTTACAGAAAGCCCTCGTGCGGATCTCGAGAGACGCACCTCGTCGCGCCTCTAAACCGCATCTCCAGGAGTGCGACTGAGCGCGAGGGCAAACTCTTTGAGCTCGGAAAAGCCCCGTTTTTTGGGGGGTCAGGCCGTGTTTTGGAAACCGTCTGCTCAAATGCGGCGGCGGCTCCCCGGGCCGCTCCGGGAATCTGCTCTCACCCCTGTTTGCTTTTTGATTTTTCAGGGGCTCGCCCCATCTAATAAGGGCGCAGATGCAGGTCTCCCGGAGGCAGCGTGGCCGGTGATGGGCCGCAGGGCGGAGGCGGAGGGCACCGCTGGCGCTCCTGGAAACCGAAGAAGAGGTAGGGGAGACCGTTGGCTGACCCGACACGGGCTAGAATTCCGCTTTGCAGTGCTCCCTCTTACATGTGCACATTTTCAAGCTTCTTGTGTCCGGTCAGCTCGGACTTGAGTCCTACGCCCCATTTGTCGCCGGTTCGAGCCCCGTTCGCTAACTGATCGTGACCGGCGTTCTCCAAGTAGCAGTACAGAGGTGCCACTGTCGAGGACTGGGGTTATTTAAGCAGGAAAATCCAATCTCGGAAACGGCGACTCTTTGACCTTCCCAGGTGCCTGTAGGCTTGCAGTGATATGAGCGAGAGGCTCACAATTGGCAGTAATGCTCCTGTATGGAGTTTGCAATGTGTCAGAAGACAAAGGGCTGTGTAGGTGGAGCACGTCTGCGTGTCTCCCATGCATTAACAAGAATTGTTGCTGCAAAGCCAAGACACAATTTTCAATAAGTTTAGAGTATTATTAAAAAAAAAAAATTGGTGAATCCAAGTTGGCATAGAAGAAATCTGACTTCACAATGTTAAAAAAATGGAATTTAAAACGCACACACAGTTGATTAATAAAAAGGGTTCCCCCCCCCGTGCAAAAAACAAAAAAGTTTTTTTTTTGAATGCATCTGCACATTCCTCTTCGAATATGAAGTTTTTCATGAATTTCAAATCGGCTTTTACGCGTTCCAACTTGGGAATTGCCAGATGTTAATCGGGCTGGGTCGCTGGGCTTGTGGCCCTTGTGCAGGGGCTGGAGGTCTGACGTGGTTGTGTGTGCTGTCCTCTGAAGTGTGCCCCGATGGAGCCCACAGTCATTGACGGGAGGCAGCCCTTGCAGGCACGTTCCACAGGGGGGCACTAAAGCCCACCCATCTTAGAAACACTCCTCAGCACCAATGCGCAATTGGCTGAAAAGTCCCAATTGACAAACAACAGATAGTATAACCCGGACTCGAACCCCCCGATCGGTTACATTCATTGGTTGAGTCATGCAGGAGGGCCATCACTGTAATTCTGGATCTTTTAGATTGAATTAATCAATCCCCCCCCCCTCCTGTGTGCTTGAAAAAAATGTTTCGATCTTTTCCAGCACAAAAGCAATCACGTTTTGCAAGTGGGAGTTCAAAGCCAAACTGACAACATTGACTTTACATGGATAAAGAAAAAATGCTTTCTATAAAATCGACATTTAAAGAAAAACATGCTCTTAATATTTTACTATACTGGTTATGTTTGATACACAAAAAAACTGTGGTTCACCATTAAAGAAAATTCAGCTTCTGACCAATTTCTGAGTGTACAGATTGGGTTGGATTGGATGCTGTAGGTATAGATTAGTTTGGGTATTCAGTGTGGTTCAGGCATCCAGAAGTGTACTTGAGATAGCAGTCAGAATCCAACTTGTAGCCACAAACACTTTTGGCTCATTAACGTGTGCACGTTTGATGTTCAGTGCCTCTATAGTTTAATGTCATCTCAGTACTGTTTAAGGTCAGAATTCAACCAAACAGAGATGGCCAGCGTCTTAAAAAATATTGCCATCTAGCCTTTTACAAAAAATCAGAAGAAATTAGATTGGTCTCTGATCCCAACCAATGTATTTTACTGAAGTTTTACAGACATGAGTTGCTGTGTATGTTACAGTTATCTTATTAATTTTTAAAAGCACGGTAAGACCTACTTAATACCCATTTGCATGAGAGAGTGTAACAGACTGCCATCCATGATCAGTAAGGATAAAGGTTACATTCCGAGAATGCTATAATCCGTCCGGCTGTCTCCTAAACCACTTCAACCAATTCCGGGCAAGCAGTGGGCACGTTCCCAGATACTCCCTGGACGGTATGCTAGTCCATTACGGGACACACACAGACGCACATACTCACACCAGGACGAATTTGACCCAAACCCGGATTAACCTACCTGTGTGTCTTTGGACTGGGAAAGAAAATCCCTTAATGTATGATATATTTTTAACTAACCCATATTCGTGCATCTTTCATTGCTAATGCAGGTCATTTATGCTGCAGGACTGGGTCCTGACCACACGGGCAGCAGCTGTTACCCCAGTTAGAAAAGAGAGCAATCGTGAGATGCAGCTCTCGTGGCGAGTTGCTGGCGTGTGGTCGGGATTCCTTTCATAGCCAAGGCTGTTGACTACTTGCGTGCCCTTGCTACATTTTACCCTCCTGCTTCTCATCCCCAGTCTCGTTCTTGGACAGGCCCAAAGGGTTCCATGCAGCGTTGCTACAGCTGGTCACGGAGGTCACCGAGCGCTGCTGCTCTTCATCGGCAACGTTCCACAACCCCCGTTGGCATTTCAAACAAATCATCCCTCGCACGTGCGCTGGACTTCCTAAATGGAGAGTAAGATGCACCTCAAAGGACGTTTTGTCTTGAGGCCTCCGTTCCACGCTTGGATATCGTGCCAGACTCCTCACCATCTGCATTGCTCTGGAAAAGTAGAAGAGTCTGCTGTTCTTCTGCACAATTTCCCTTGCACACAGTTATCCTGAAATAACGCTGCTTTTTAAGGTGGGAATTTGTCGTACGGCTTCTTCAGGAAGGAAACGTCTGGTGTGCCGCTGAAATGTCACGCCAGTTGGCTTTTCCTGCTTCTGACGGAAAGTGCTTTTCAGTTCTGCTAAAATTTGCAAACATGAAAGAAAATGCAACAGGGATGACGGGGTTTAGATTAGATCGCCTTTGAGGATAACGTAAACTGCTAGTGACCCTTGGCTGTAGACAGTTTAAACTGCCCTTTGACCAGCAACCCTTGAAAGTACAATTACGATTGATGGTCTTGGAGAGTGGAGAAAGAAATTCCCTTTCACCTTCCCCACTGCTTTCTCTGCCAGGGATCCATCCGAGCACTTAAAATTAGCTCATCCCGGTTTTCGACCCCAGCAGATACTTGTGTCCACATTCCAGTGCTCAAAGACGCACAACTTTGTAAACAGAATTAGAAACTCCCTTTCTGCTGCTTTTGTCTTCCCAGCCGAGCTCACAAGTGACGTAGGTGTGGTCTTCCTGGGAGATCGTATTACGCAGCAACGAATTCTGCATTTCGGACAGAGGGGCCCTTTGTTTCTGTGCTGGTTGTGCTCGCAGAAACAGGTGGGACAGCTGAGCAGGACAGCGAAAGGCCCAGTCACAGACAGCTGCAGTGCTCCAGGCACCAGCAGACCCTCCTCGCCTTCGAGGATTTGAAGAACTCCAAACTGTTTTCAAAACGACAGATTTTGTAGGTGCAAAAACAATTGACATTTTATTGAGGCTGTGTCAGAGTTTGAAAAGTTCCATTTGGAAAAATGGCCATAGTTATTGCTTTGTTACAGCATCCCTGGTAGTTCCACAACTTCTCTTAAAAGCTTTTGAAAAGCTTTTTCTAGTACATTGACAGTCCCTAAATCGATCTGTGTTGTGGCCAGGTGCTGCCTCTGCTTTCGCTAGTGGGATGGCTTCATTCTGCAGTAGATGTTGGCTTCTCCTGAGGTTTTAAAATGTGTGAGGATCAACCTGAGCTCTTCCCAGCTACGTTTCTTTTCACTCCGTAAGCATCCTGTCCTCACCGAGCTACATAGTGGGTTCTGGCAAGAGCTTAATCCATCTCAGATGTTTTCCTGCTTCACTCTTACCTGTGGGAGCTATGAATCCAATTGCGTATCCACTGAGAATCCCCAACTAAGACACAAAACTTGGCGCATCTGGTACTCGGAGCTTGTGTTGTGAGTCTTGATGCAGAATCCTGCGGAGAAATGGAAGGAACATATCCATTACTTTTCATGTACAGTGAGCTAACAACTTCAAGTCCGTTCAAATTGAACGAAGCACTACTGGGCAATGCAGAAAAGACCAGGCTGGGGTTTCACACATGCTCCTTAATGGAAGTGACTTAACTCAGGCAGACGAAACCATCAGTATAAAACATCAACAACAAATGATCAAAACACCTTTTAGAAAATGTGCAATATTTTTGATAATAGAAATGTGTATATATTGTGGAAGCATCAAGCATCCCGGTATAAGTATAACTTTTTCATGTACACCTATTTCCTCTGCTTTCAAAACTCAGTTTATCTGTTCTGAGTCCTGGAATTCCTAAGCTGAAAAATCTTTAAAGGGAGTGCTCGATGCTGGCAGCCTACAAACAGCTGCTTCAGCCCCGATGGCACTGCATATAAGGGATCAGACGTTTAAATTTTAAAGGGCTCCCTGACACAGCTGTTGTAGCCCACTCACTGACATCCCAGAAGAAGCCTGTCCCCAGTCTTCAGTTTCTCTCCAGTGCTTCATCCATTGAGCACTCTGTAGAAAGCCTTGTCAAGACCCGAGGTACTGTAATTCACCCAGGATGGGTTCGGTTATTGCCAAGATGTTGCTGCCCACTGTCAGCAGTCTTGCCTTTATGCCCGCCATCAGCGTGGCCGCCAAACGTGGGTTCCACATGGAGGCGATGGTTTATTTCTTCACCATGTTCTTCGCTGCGGTAAGGATCCCTTTGTCTGCCCTGACTTTGACAGCGGGCATGCCTCGCTCGTGGTCAACTCCAGCTTGGGTTGGTCCGCAAAAGTGATGGATTCTAGCTAAAACTATTCTAACTGAGCTCTACTGTGATTGTGATGTTGTGATTGGTTGTGCTCCTGATATTTCCGATTTACCCTGGTATGAATCAGTCTTTGGGGGAGGGGTGGGGGGGGAAATGGGCACGCTGTGGGATTTTAAGATGTGTTAAATCATAACTGCAAAAATATTATTCTCTGTGTTAATCATCGTTGTTGCGATCGTAATATGTAAGCACCTGTTTTGTTCTAAAGAATCAAAATTAATTGTAAGTATAGTCATTGGGGATATTAAATGAGTGTCTCCTGACCCTAGCTTTCTTTCAATGTTGTTTATGGGTATAAAATAGGGTGGGTCTAAAGTCAGAAAGCCATTTGCGGTTATTTTAGAAAGTTCACTGTGGTTTCCTAATTCTTTTGGAAGCAGCAGACTGTACCTTAAAGATGAAGAAAATAGCTTGAGTGCAAAACTCCCCAGAACCTTTTAACTGTTGGTTCTTCGTGCCCAGATGCGAATGATATTCCACTGTATATCTTGGAACTTAACAGGACAGCCTTCGGTAAAGGTTCTGAAGCAAACGTCTGACCTCTGTTGCTTCTCTGCGCCTTGAAACATATGTAGCTGAAGTCAACCCAAGCGGTTTAAGATGCAGACAAGCTGCATTGGGAGTTTTTCCTAGAAGGAACAGCTGACCTGGGCCAGTGTTGGAATGGAATGCGTTAGTGACAGGTGTGAAAGAAACAGCCTATTTCAGCTTTGTGTTCATTGACTTTTAGACCACAGTTAGATCTACTAGAGCAACAGCTTCACCATTAGCAATGTGCAGGGACAGCATAGCGCAGTGGATCGAGCACTAGATCCTACTAGAATTATTCAGTGGCATAAATGGGCATTGTCCCTGGGACATGTTTATCTGAAAAATATCCCTGCGATGTCCAGAAAAATAAAAATGAAGGTGCAGCACCAATACATATTAGCGGCTCATGTACTGTATTGGAAGAATTAATGAAAATGAAGAAGAAGTCACAACAACGTTTGGTCACACTTCATCAGCCTGATAAGCAGTCAGCTGTGTTGGTGTTGAACCTACATGTCTTGTTATTCTTGACACCAGTTATATCCTCGTCCAAAAGTACTTGACCCAGTTCACACAGCAGCAAAAACGGGGTAACAGCACCGTGTAGAGAATTAGTAACATCCAGGGACTCCTCACAGTTCCAGTCATGGGAAGGTTTGCTTTTGCTTGCAAAGTACCCATCTAGCTGTGCACCTTGGTTGATAGCATGATAAAGGAATTGTTGCTATTTTTGGGGGGATAAAATTGTTCTCATATGAGATGAATGAGCCATAAAGGACCTTGTATTGTTTCTTTGTTACTTTCTTCATCTCTGACGATGGTTCTTCATATGCACACCTTGTGCCTTCTTTTTAAGATCTACCATGCATGCGATGGCCCAGGATTGACCATCCTGTGCTTTATGAAGTACGAGATACTGGAATACTTCAGTGTCTATGGGACAGCCATCGCAATGTGGGTTACTCTTATAGGTAAGTGTCTTGCTCACGTCCAATTTGGTATGATTTAAAATAGGACTATAAAACTGTATTTTCCCTTGAACAGAGCAATGTCATTAAAATAATTCAGCATTATTTACTGAAATTTATAGTTGTATTCACAGAACAGGGGATACAGCTTTTAAATCCAACTAAATGAGCCATCCAGGTATTAACATCAGACCGGAATGAAGTAGGGTTTTAGTGACCCCTGCTGGCGACCTGAGAAGGCACAAAAGAAGATAACTCCCCTTGCGAGTGGGTCTGATCCATACTGAAGTGTGCTTGCCCAAGGTGGTGACAACCCATCTTTGAGTCCCAGTACCTGTATTTCCATGTTCATATGGAAAACGCAGAGATGTGTGTTCTCTGTGTGAATTTAAAATCTGTTTGATCTGTGAAGCTCTGGGAGACTTTGACGAGCCCAAGAGATCGTCTCTCACCATGTTTGGGATCCTCACGAGTGCAGTCCGCATCTACCAAGACCGCTGGGGCTATGGAGTTTACTCCGGACCCATTGGGACAGCTGTACTGATGATTACAGTCAAATGGGTATGAAAGCATTTCTGTACTGATCCCTGATTGCCAGCACCTTTCATGGACGAGCCTCAAAACAATCTTTTCATAGCTTAACATCATCTAAAGTTTTGTCTCCATTATAACAATAGAATACGTCTGTTGAAAATAGAAATCATTAACCAAGAAATATTTTATTATTTGTAAGGTACAGTATGCTGCTGCGATTCAATGAGGCCGAGAGATGTCTTTTTTTTTTCCTTTTCTTTTCTGTTACAAAAGAGTTTATAAAACATTATGGTAGCTAAACACAGTTCATTTTTTCCCCCCTCAATAAATATTTCCACATGTTTAATGTTTTCTGTCATCGACACCTCTTTTAATTATTTTAGCAGCCTTTTTTGAGAAGTGCCTGAAAAATGTGTGACCTGAAATCCATTATCTCACCACTTGTCAAATAGAGCCCTGCCAGAGCTCATTAGCCCAGTTTATTTCTGTATGTGAAGTAAAAAGATACTTGGCGCCTTTCGCTCTTGTTTATGAAAATAACTGCTTGCGTTGTGCTTTTCATAACGTTTTGGTGAGCTTGAGTCTATAAAATCTGTCTCTGTACCTCAATCCCTGATGAAAAATGTCTGCAATTAAAAAGGAAAAGAAACTACTACCAAAAAAATAATTGCATTCTATTATTCTATTATCTTTTTTTTAAATATCTATTTGTAGATAACATTATGGCTGATTAAGTATTAGGTACCAAGAATAAATAGTGCACAAACTGCAGTGTTTTGTCTTCCAAGTGCTGAAACATCTTGCTTAGACATCTCATTTCTAGTTTCTTTTTTTTTTTTTAAATGTAGGAATTGTCAGTTCTGTTATTTTGTAAGTATGCAATCCGGACCTGCCACTAGCTTAGGACTTGACCTTATGGCTCCCCCTGCCGTAGTGTAAGAGAAGGTTGCGAGACTGGGGCTGCCTGACAGGTGAGTTTGCAGCAATTGGAGGAGTGGGGAGCATCGGCTGCTGATGTCACTTCCTGCTTGCAGGGTTTGCCGTTTTGCTGGGAGCCAAGAGGCCCCCAGCTACTGACATGCCCCAGGTTCAAACTGGAAACATCTGGACCGGATCTTGGGGCTTGACCTGTGGTCTCCCCGTTTTAAGACACCCGGGAGTTACAGGTGGCCTCTTTGTGAAGTCAGTTCTTTGTCCAGCCAGTAGGTGTGCAGAGGGCCTTCTGTATGACCATCATTATCTTCAGTGTCTCCAGTGTATTGTCTGGAAATAAAAAGCCTCCCATATTATACCATATAAGACAGGAAAGAAACTTGGTTACCTGAAACGTTGCTGCTGGTTTTCCCTCAGTGGAGCATAACAAAACAGTCCTGCTGGCAGGAAGGAAAGGGAAGAAGAGCTGGAATAGCCAAGCAGCTGGCTCTTTGGAAACTCTCGAGCGTTGTCTTTATTTTTGTTTCCCAGCTCCAGAAGATGAAGGAAAAAAAAGGCCTGTATCCAGAGAAGAGCGTCTACACCCAGCAAGTGGGTCCAGGGTTCTGTTTCGGGGCGCTGGCCCTCATGCTCAAGTTCTACTTCGAGGTACAGCGAGCTCACCCCTTTCCCAAACAGCTTCCCAGGTTTTCTCAGTCGGCCCTGTTCCATATAGCCTTCTCTCCTGTAATAGTGTCCCGCAGTTGTACCTTTCCCGTTTGCTCAGAGAAACTGGCGAAAAAAGGTGTGAAAAAGTCGACATGAACACTATTCGAATTAATTTACACCTTTTTCCATTTTACTTTACAAGTCAGTATAAGACTCTTGAAGCTCTCCTTAAAATATGCCTTACTTAATGCTCTCTAAAGGGAGGCTGTGGATTTCGGAATTCAAATCCCTGAAGGGTTTTTTTTTTCTTGGTTGGTTTTTATAAACATCCGAGTTTAATCCGAATTTTTTTTCCGTGCTTGTTGGCAGATGACTTCAAATGAAGCTTTGTTTTTTGTTCTGGCTTGCTTTGGGTTTTGCTACGTATTTATAAGAAACAAACACCACAGTTAACCTATGAATTGAACTCACAATGAAAGATACGGTTGTCTTGCACTTTGTAAGAAAGATATCATTTTAGGTGCTTATTATTATTATTTTAGAATAATTGTTGTATTTTATAATAATTTGTGGTATTGTTTTCAATGTACAACGAGATGAATTTGTGTGACAGAGACTGATTCCTTAGCCAAGAGAGTTCAACATGGTAAATTTTGTGCCTGGAGATGGCAAGTCCAGACAAGATGGCGGCTCTTGTCTGAACTACATTACCCAGGAGGCTGTGGGGGGGGGGAAACCTGCCAATCACCTGACCGGTTGGGAGAAGACGGCTGGTCAGCTTATGTTTTATTCAAAATCGGGAAGCAGGGGGTTTCCAGTGGTTGCTCACCTGGATCACCCTTTCTCCCACTGCTGCAGTGCATCGCAGTGGATCCGCCCTCTGTCTCCAGATGGCCGGTGCAGAACGATCCCATAGAATTAATCCACCCCCCCCCCCCACTAACAAACCCCACGTCTCAGTTGCTGTGTGCTCTTCTCTTTCGGCAGGAATGGGACTACGCCTACGTCCACAGCTTCTACCACCTTGCTTTGGCCATAGCGTTCATCCTCATCCTGCCAAAGAGCAACCGGCTGGGAGGAAACGGCAGAAATGCAGCTAAGCTGGACTGCTACACCCTCTGCTGCTGTGTATGAAGTCCTTTTTTTTCTATCACCACGGGACAGGAGTTGATCCCCCTGTATTGAGAACCCTAGGCACAGCTTGTGCTTTGCAAAAACACCTGCCTGTATCTCACTTCGGTTTAAAATATTTTTCAAGGGATTTATTGCTCTTTTTCAACTGATCCATTCAAACTGTGGGGCGGATGTCTCGATGAGCCTGTTTATTCCGAAGTGGGACAAACCGATGGCATAAATGCTATGGTTGACCTTTGTTTTTTTCATATTTGTTTCCCCGTAACGATTAAAGGAAAAGATTTATCATCTCCAGCTAAAGTACAAGAGACAAAGGCCTGCATTAAATCACAAGGCTGACCAGCTTGCTAGTCCTTATTCCAGGCTTATTCCAGTGTTTGGTGGCAGGTTTCCACTGAGCAGATGCAAGTAGTCTCCGGTAAAAGGAAAACGGCCATCAATTGTTGACCTGTCTGGAATTTGCGATGGGTGGATGAGTTGGATTTCTGCTTTTTTCCAGACCTAATGTAACTTATGGAGAAGGAATGTTTCGTTTTCAGGGCGCTACACGTTGAAAATATAGTATCACGTTCCAAAACGAGGCTGGTTTGTAGTGCAGAAAAAAATGCGTCACCAGCTGCAGTTTAGAATGTGTTTTTTTTACCACACACACCCGGTAAGCCAGGGCAAGATTTTAATCAGTACTGTCGTCTTTAGGGCTGGAACTGAGAACTCGTCACATAAACACCCAGGATGGGTATAAATGGGTACAGATACAGTAGGTATGTGTGGATGATTAGTTTGGATAAATGCATCAGGCAAATTAATATTAATGGCTTGGATCCATCATCGTCGGAATACCCGCAGATCAGCAACATCATTGTAACTGCTGGCTTTCCAGTCGCCAGCTCAGACCATAAAGATAATGAAACCATGAAGCAGCTCCTGCCAGTACGGTAGACTTTCGTCTGTAGCACCAGCTCTGATCCAGATCTGGCCCCCTTGACTCAAAAGCTGGGCAGCATGCCTCCCAACTCTTGAGCCTTCGCCCCTGGGCCCGATGGACGTTGGCGGTGTACGCCAGTGATGGGTGCCAGCCGTTACCCATGTTGCTGTGTGTTTCAGGTCACCAAGCCAGCAGTGAGAGACAAGGTTCGTTCAATTTGGAAACCGTCCATCAAAGCTCCCTGGATGAGGGCCTGTGACCGGGGCCTCCCAGTGACCCGTCCCCAGCCGGCATCCAAATAAGTGGCCGCAGACTCCAGGAAATGGAAGGTTGGAGGGTTAGAGGGCAAGAGCAGACTCTGGCCCTGCCGTAGCAGAGTCGGCTCGCTGGGTGGCAAGTCTGAGAGAGCGACAGTATCCCAGCAGTCAGCTGTCTTGGGCCTCCTCTGTGCTCTACAAGGCTCAATACCGCATGTTAAATTACACTCGTCCCTTTGTGAAAGAGCATCCAAAGACCAGTGCTTCCTTTTGAAATAAAAGGAAAACCTCATTGAAAGACCTTATTTTAAACTGGCCAGAATACAGCGCCCAGTTCAGCTTGGCAACGTGTCTTTGGCACAAAAAAAAAAGAGGGCACTCTGGAGCCCTGCGGAATCTGCCTTTGGGTGCTCTTGTACCGAGGAACTTGGGGGGGAAGAAATTATTTGTTTATAAGTGCTTAAAGTTGAAACCTGCACCCTGAAATGAGAATGCATGATTCCCCCCTCCCGCCCCCCCAAACAGTGCTGGTATGTGTTAGTGTCAGGGCAAGAACCTTAAAAAACATTTCTTTTTTCAAAATAAATAACAGATTTTCACCGTGTTGTAAAATAAATGAGCACTTGGCAGTAAACTGCTGGATGCAAGCCATCTCCGTGTTTTCGAACTTGTGATGTGCGCACGGTAAAAGAAATACTTAAGTATTTTATTCCAAATCCCAGGCTGATTGTCAAACATTCGTTTTCAGTGTTTTGCAAAGCCCTGTTTGTGAAATTGAATCCTCTCCAGTTCTTTAGTCATAAAACCTATTATTCCAAATGCGCTTTAAGACCTCCAAAAATGTACTTATTAATATTTTCTTGCCAAAGCCTTGTACTGTAGGTGTGAATGTAAGCGTATAACCCATGACCTGATTTTTCTATTGTATATAACAGGTATATAATATCGTTTTTGGCTTTGTAAAATACCGTAATGTAAATATTAATTTATTATTAAGACTTGTATTGGTTTTGTAATCTAAACAATGTGAAACATTAAAATTGCTACCAGTGAAGTTGAATGCAGCCTTGTGTGATATTTCACTGCATGCTTACAATTTCTGTTCTAATTAATTCATGTTACATACCAGAAGACAAAAGTTTGAACAGCTGAATAATTCTGAGAGTGCTAGAAAGCACAGAGAAGTACTCCTAGGTAACTTCTTTAAGCTGCAAAGAGTTATACTCATTCTTTAAAACGTAAAAGTAATCAGTCTCCAAAACTTTGATTCCTAGACGTCAACTTATTGAAACTTATTTTGACATGTCTCCAGGAGATGTGAAACTTGGGCCAACCCCAAAATGCACCACGTTGAAACTTTAGAAGAAAGTTTGCTGTCTTCTAGCGAAAGTTAAGTTCCCGACGCATCAGACCGCCATTGGTTAGGAGCTGTTTTAAATCAATGCAAAGAAATGGATTCTGCAGCAGCTTAGAGCAGATGTTCTCCCAAGTCTTGTAGTGTGACCTTCTTGTGTTTTGTGTATATATTACAGAATTTGGACTGAACTGATACAACCTGGGAGGGAGAAAGTGAGTGTTTCAGTGCAGTGGTGCGCTTTAGAGAAACAGTTTTTGGAAACGAAAATACAGGGGGTTCTTCATGGGGCATTTAGGGCGTGACAGCTAATTAGTGTACACCTCCTGGCAATTGGCTATGGGCTGAATCGTTGGTGATTTAAGAGTAGACACTGTTGTCAGTAAGGGTGGCAAGGAATCACTGTGGGGTACACAGTGTTCCTCAGGAAGGTGGAATGGCAACATTCGATATTAGTGTAAATGATTTACCACCCCATTCATTTAATCCCTGCCCTGCGAAGAGGGGATTCAAGCGGGCTGGTTTTATTTTTATTTTTTTTACTTCCACGACCCCTCACTCAAATGGCTGTTAACAGTTGCGTTTGCGTTCTGTGTTGACGTCTGGGTGGAAACCTCTTGGATTAACAGCCCGGCCTGACGAGAGAAGCAGCCCCTTTCAAAAAAAAAAAAGAAAACCCTGCAGCATCGCTCTTTCTAGGAATGAAAGCACACACTGCACAACCGGGAGTGGTCATCTGTTTCGCTTCATGCTGAGGTTTATGGGTCACTTTTGGGGGTTGGGGGGGGGGTTTCGAGGTGCATAGCCGAGCGATTGCTGGGGATCCTGTGTGGAAAATGCAGCCTGCGCTCTGCTTGTAATTGAACAGGATATCCTCTGCAAAAAAATAAGGTCAGATAATGGCACTTTTTATTCCTGGTTCCAGGCACTTGCTAAAGACTGCAGACACGTGCAGCAGGACTTAGACAAAACAGTCTCCAGCTTAACGTGAACTCTCAGGTCCACAAAGGGCTTTTTGATTCCCAGCCAGTCCCCTCGGGCTCCTTTCGTGGAAGACGAAGGTGTTTTTGTCTGGGGGAGTCTGGCGGCCTCGTGACTCGCTGCCGAAAAAGGATGTTCTCTCTCTCTCTGTCTCTCGGGGCCCTGCTGTTTTTCTCATTTCAGAGCCGGGGGCTGAAACGCGAGACTTTTATTGCCTCGTGGTTGCGACGACGTTCTCTGCCTCCCCCTTCGCCCCTTCCCGGGCCGGAGTCTGGGCTGGAGCCGCCCCCCGCAAGCTCGGACCTGCGGCGCAGGGCGCGGATCACGTGACCGCCCAGCGACGGGCCGAGACCGGAGAAGTTTGAAGGTGTACTTCTGGCACTTGGTAGATGTTAAAAAATGTGGGCTTCCTGCTGAATAACAAGCGGCTCTGGTCTTATTTTCTCCCCACTGCTCTTATTTAGGGTGGAAGCAGCCTAGTATAAAATGGGAGAAAGACCCCCCCCCCAGCTAGATAGTAGCCCTGTGACTTATAAGAGCAATTTGTTGGAGCCCCAGATCCATCGGCTCAATCGGCTCAAGTTATTCGGCTGCTGCCTTAATTCAAGGCAACTGCCAGTTAATGGACTGCACAGTATCAGCAAATAAAACAATCCAGAGGGCAGAGTGGCAAGGTCAGCTACTGAAACTGCAATGATGAATTGTACAGTCTGGGCCATTGCTGTCCAGTCTTGGTCCTAGGGGTGGCCAGTGTGTCTGCAGGTTTCTTTCAGCGTCTCCGTTACATTGGTCCAGATAAGCCAGCAACCAGCTGGTTCAGCTTGTAAAAAGCGGAGCGGAGGGGTTGCCGGTTCAAATCCCGCAGCCGGCAGAGGAATCCTACTCTGCTGGACCCCTGAGCAAGGCCCTTCACCTGAACTGCTCCAGGGCCACTGAAGAATGGCTGACCCTGCGCTCTGACCCCCAGCTTCTCTCCCTGTCTGTGTGTCTCATGGAGAGCAAGCTGGGGTCTGCGAAAAGACTCATTCCTAATGCAAGAAATTGTATAGGGCTAATGTTAAAAGCCGCAGCACAGAGAGCTGCATTGGTCAGCCTCGATCTGACCATCGGAGCCCCAACAGGTGAGTCTTGATCAGAGGGAAGACTTGGAGGAGGGACTGCACAGTAGCATTTTAGAACGTAGAGTGATTTTCACACTGGGAGCTGAGCAATCACAAGCAATCTCAGTACTTGCTGTACCGAAATAAACTTGAACGAACTGATCAAGGCTGGTGACAACATTACGAGCGCATCCTTGGTCTCAATAACATGTTTGGGGGGGGACGCGCGAAATGAAATTACTGCCAGGCCGGCCCTGTTGTACAGTATATCCTGCTCTGACTCATCTTTGCTTCGATTCCTGGTGCCTGTGATACTATCATCAGCGCCCTGTGTGTGGCTACACTCGCTGGTTTCAGAAGGGAGGCCGTTACAAGGGATCTTACGGTTGACGTAATCCGTATTTGTGACCAAGCTGGTTGGGCAGAACTAAAATCTGCTGTCATGTTTTATTTGAATTTATAAAACGCCCCATGCCAGTAAGCGCAAAGATTTAGTGGGGCTTCGAGGCACAATTCCGATATGTGGCCGTTTTCATCTTTACATCTACAGCTATGTGTCCTGGAGAATTGTTGAGGGGAGATGATTTTGACCTAAACTGCCCCAGGAAGAAAAAAAAAAGGATGTTCTGTTAAACCCTTTATTTCCGATGTTGGTCAGATTACAGGTTGAGTAGAGTACAGTAGCTGTTGCATTTTTATGTTTTAAAACACAGTATCAGATGTGGGGCAGCACAGTGCTACACAAATGGCCTCGCAGTTCTGGAACTTGAGTGAATATCTGTGTGGAGTTTGCATGTTCCCCCTGTGTTTGTTGGAGTTTCCTCCCACAGTGGTTAATTGGCTTCTGGAAAAAATTGGCCCTGGTGTCTCTGTGTCTGTGTGTGTCCTGTTATGGCCTGGCGTCCCGTCTAGGGTGTATCCCAGCCTGCCCACATTACCCTCTAGGGCAGTACCTGGCTCCCCTGTGACACGGTATTGAATAAAGCTGTTAGAAAATGGATGGAGGTCGAATATCTATCCACTATCCAATATCTGGATATCCTCTCGATAGGTATGCATTTTCCTCAGCCTCGACACTTTCAATCGTGTGACAAGTCCCGTGGCAAAGCTGTCGTGGTTCTGTGGCGCCACCTGCTGACGGCTTACAGCTACAACGATTTGTCTGTTTTTAATTTTTTAGTGTTTTTTCTGAGCGCATGATTTTTTTCCTTTGTAGATAATTAAGAAAAACCCTAAATCATACTTAAGTATAGATCTCTATTATGAAACGTTAAGTACATGACCAGATGGCAGTACTAGTGGTGTTTATTATTATTATTATTATTATTATTATTATTGTTGTTGTTGTTGTTGTGGTTTTTGTTTTTCTATTGTTTTTGTACAAGACGTCCTAAATAATGATGAAAGTCGTCATTACTTTCACAGCTACCGAAAAAGAGTCGATGGAATTGGTTCTTCGCTTTCTGTGTCGGCAAGCCTTCGTGCGGTTTGTCCTAGTGGGGTATCCGTTCGCGGGTCTGTCTCCGTGTTCCGGGTTCATCGAGCGCGGGGGGTTTGAGTAGCGAGAAGCCGCCTCCGTCTGGGGGGGGGTTGAACTGGAAATCAAAAACGGTTCATTGAAGGCAGAAGATCGCTGTTATCACTACTCCCTCTGCAGTGCTATGGCTTCAGAAGAGATGTCTACTCCAGATGTCAAGGAGTTGTCTAATGACACCACTCCGAGGAGAACGGTTTGTGGTTCGTCAGCTGGAGGAAAGCGCAGAAGGTAGGTAATATGTTACACTGCGTGTTTAAAATTTGTTTTCCAGTTATATGTAGGTTGCGACATGGTGGAGTCGCGATTAGGCCCTGGGCTCTTACACTGAAACTCCATCGGTGAGTTCGAGTTCATACAATCTGAAGTTAAGGTTATTTATGGCCTCTGCTGTTAATAGAGTCGTAGAGGGGCTTATTATCATAACTACACGTACATTGGGATTCTGAAGGAGCAAGTAATAGGTTTATTCCATGCATGGAATTCCTCTTTTCAGCAGGGAATAAACCTGTTACTTGTTCCTTTGCAGCCTACGCAAGCTGACGCAGCTGCCCACCTGAACTACACTGGGGTTCTTATTCGCGCGATATAGGCAGTAGATTACAAACTTAAATAAAAACAAG